CGGCCTGAGGCCGGAGCTCCACCGTTTGAGTGCTGGCAGCTGCGGGTTTTTTTTTGTATTTGCATGGAAAAGTGCTCGTTTGCATGGATTTGCATGGTACTGTGCTCGCGCGTGTTTTGGCCCTCGGCTTTGCCCTCTGAGCTGCTCACGCGCGCGTGTGTTTTGGCCGTCCGCGGGATTTCGCCGCGCGCGTTTTTTTTTTCGATTTTTCGCACAGTGCACGCTCGTTCTGTTCGGCCGGCTGTCCAGCTACCCTTCCTATTTAACTGGCGCTTGGACTGCTAGCTCCAGTGCTCTTTCTACCTCATTTCTTTCCACTTAACCGTGCGATGAGTGATTACATCCCTGCCTTTGATCTCAACGTGCCATTAGAAGAAGATGACGACGGCAATCTGCCCTTTGATCTCAACGCGCCATTACCGGAGGACGACAACAACAATGGTAAGCAACAATGTTTTTTCAAACTTCTCTGCGGCTGAATGGCCTGTTCTTTTTTTTAGAAAATCAATGGCTATGTGTTTGCCTTTCCTAATATAATCCATGACATGAATATGCTTCTTTTTTTCCCGTTTAATTAGATCTTGCTGTGAGTGAACACGCCGACGCCGACGACGTGTTTCAATTCGGCGAGCTAGAAGATGACGACGGCAACGACGTCCTTGATGTTGACGACGAGCAAGAAGACCATGACGTCGGCAACGACTTCCTTGATGTTGACGAACAAGAAGATAACCACGGCGGTAACGTACCATGTCATTGTTTCCTTTTATACTATGAGCCTTCAATCTTCTCGTTCTAAGAACGCAGTTTTTTTAAGGTTTCGATTTGAACTTACCACTAGATGAATTTGGTGCCGTGGACTTCGATTATGAAGAGAACCTTGCTGGTAACTTTTTTATTCTTGCCATGAAGTAGTACTATGAACTTGCTTGTTCCATTAGCTCCAACTTGCTGTGAAGGAGTAGTATTATGAACTTGCCGTGAACAAGTGTTACTATGAATGAACCTTGCTGGTATTTTTTGTTCCCTATAAATAGAAAATGCCATGGCTAAGCTCTGCCGAGAAGAAGTATTTTTTTCATGCATTTGTAGAACTTGCCGTGAACAAGTGTTACTATGACTAAGCATTGTTTTCTTTAACAGAACATGCAGTGGACAACCCAACCGTGGAAGTACAGGTTGGACAACCCCACCGAAGACCAGAAATGTCTGAACAACTCCGTAAACGAGTTTATCAAGTTTTGTTGACTAGAAGCAACAATGGCAAACTACGCAAGAAGGACACTGCAATTGTTGCCGAGCAATTTGGGCTTCATATACGGACAGTTCAGAGGTTATGGAGGAGAGGTAAAATACAACTTGCAAACTCAGTTCCGGTTGTGGTTTCTAGTCTAAAGAAGGGTAGAGTAGGCCGTAAGGTAACCCCTGTTGATTTAGAAGCTTTGCGAAACATTCCTCTAAAACAAAGAATGACTATAGAGGATGTGTGCACCGCACTAGGAATGAGCAAATGGACGATTCAAAGGTATTTGAAAAAAGGTTACCTTAGACGCCACTCTAGTAGCATCAAGCCATATCTCACTGAAGCTAACAAGAGGTCTATGTTACAATGGTGTGTTGACATGGTTAACAGGGAGTTGCTTGATGATCCAAGGTTTAAGGAGTTGTATGACTTTGTGTTCATTGATGAGAAATGGTTGTACCTACATCAAAAAAATGAAAGATACTATTTGTTACCCGAAGAAGATGAGCCCCATCGGACTTGTAAGAATAAGAACTGCATCCCTAGGCTTATGTTCTTGTGTGTTTGCGCTCGACCAAGGTTTAGGGATGGGAATTGTATTTTTGATGGTAGGATTGGTTGTTTTCCACTTGTTCGTTATGAACCGGCTATGAGAGGTAACGAGAGAACCGGTCGTGTCCGTGGAGACTTGGTTATGAAGCCCATTACATCGATCACAAGAGAAGTGATTAGAGAGTTCATGATCAACCAAGTGTTGCCGGCCATTAGAGCCAAATGGCCAAGAGAAGATGTGGGTAGACCAATCTTCATCCAACAGGATAATGCACCCTCTCATTTGAAGTTGGATGATCCCTATTTTTGTGAGGCTGCTAAGATAGGTGGATTTGATATTCGGCTAACTTGTCAACCACCAAACTCTCCGGATTTCAACATTCTTGACTTGGGCTTTTTTCGAGCTATACAAGCAATTCAATATAAGAAGAATGCAAAAACAATGGAGGATCTAGTTCTAGCCGTGCAACAGGTAATTTGATCAAATTGTTCACACATGTTTCAATGTTTTTTAACAACAAATTTGCTCATTCATTCATTTCTTGCACAATTTTTTTGTAGGCATTTTTGGAGTACTCGCCACGGCTTGCAAACAGAATGTTTGTAACACTACAAGGTGTCTTCATAGAAGCTATGAAAGTGAAAGGTTGCAACAAATTCAAGATACCTCACATGAACAAAGAAACATTAGAAAGAGAGGATCGATGCCATCTTGTATCCCTTGTGATCCATCATTGCTACATGAAGCCGAGGCTACTCTTGCTGCATGAAAAAATTATAATGATGCTTGTTAGCTTTTGTGTAGTAGAGACATCATCCTTTCTTGTAATGCCGATTGTTGCATGAACTAAATTTGTAATGCTGCATGAACTAAATCATCCTTTCTAAGTTATCTTACCGATGCTTTGGCGTCGTCCTTTGTCGGCAGCAAGCCCTTGTAGTGCTCCATGAAAAGCTCGCAGTCCACGTTGATGTGGCCGAGCATGGCGTCGATGGAGTAGTCCGCGTGGACGAGACCGCAGCGAGGGCATGGGTAGAACCGCGAGTGCGCACGGTTCCACGCTTCGCGGTCCTCATGGACGAGATGGCAGCGACCGCAAACGAAAGCGCCCGGCGGCAAGTACTCCGGCACCATCTCGACAGAGTCCGGCACGATGTCGACAGGGTCCGCAACCATCTCGACGGAGTCCGGCACCACCAGCAGCGCCTCGACGGAGTCCTGCGCGACGACGGACTCCAGTCCTTCGACGGACTGCAGCGGGTCGACGGAGTCCGGTGCCTCGAAGACGTCCTCGGTGGTGACCTCCTGCGAGTCTAGCCCGATGTCCACCGCGGCGACCTCCTCCGACTCTGGCCAGACGTCGTCCGCGGCAAGCAGCACCCGCGCGCCGCCAGGCTCCATGGCGAGCGTGCTGATGGCGAGCGTGCTGTGGGTGGGGGGATCAAAGAAGACGGGTCGCGCAGGCGAGGCGCCCCACGACGCCGCGACCGGGCGTGGTAGGCGTAGGCGAGGTGGATTCGTGTGGTTTCATCGGTCGGCGTCGCCACGGCTTTCGCGGGTATCTGCAAACTGAATGCTTGTTAGCTTTTGTGTAGTAGAGACATCCAGTCGTTTGGAATCGCTTGGACTCGTCCATGCGGCTGGCGCGAGTTCGTGTCGATTAATGGAGGCCAGTCCAAGAGTCCCGAGGGGGCGTGCATGCGGACCGGCGGTGCGCGTGGGAGGCGAGTCGAGGAGACGCGAGGGAGGCGCGTGCGGACGTGCGGCGCCGCGTGGCCCCAGGGGCAATCGCGTCCAAAACAGGCTTCGTGGACGCGGACGACATCCTTTGCCGCGAACGCGCTCGGCTCCAGAACGACTGTTAATTAGGATATGGAGGGAGTATCTAAGTTCTTGAAAGAACCAGTTGGTCTTAGTCGACTAAGGGTTGTAAAGGGTGGGGGATACTAATGGCGGTAGAGGGCACATTTACTTGGCTAATATACACATAACAGATTTGGAAGAAAGTTCAATTCTTTCTAAGGAACAGGCTTTTGTTGGGGTGCTGTGGAAACCCTTAGAAGTCTAAGAAGTTTGACATGCATAGCAAGTATCATCCATCTTCATTTTGTGGAGCAAACTGGCATACATGGCACAAAATAGTGAGGTCCATGCTTTTTCGGTCCAAGTAACCTGGTGTGAGAAACAAATAACTGAATCAATAACTGGTGAATCAGAAATAAAGTATACGCGATGTGAAAGAGAACAATTTAATGGGTCAATGATAAGAACATAGTATATATGATGCACTCTGTTTTTTGGCAAGCCAAGATGTAGATCTGTATAGCAAGGATTTATGTTGAGTTGCTGTGTAATGTCAACGTTGTTGATCATGTGAAAGGATATGCGACTATGATGCAAAGGGCCTGTAAGTTATTCATATATGAGAGTTTTGTAGGCTGGGAAATACTAAAACTCATAGAAGAAACGTGTTTTTAAAGGACAGTTTAAAGTGTCTGCATGTATACAATGAAACAATGTGGAAACTTAACAAATGTATCATACGCCCTAATGATAAATGGCTGAAAATAATTGCAGGAATTTGTGGCCTGTGCTGGTAACAGTTTTGTAATAAGTTTTGATCTAAGAAATAACTATAAGGGCAGGCTGTATGAAATGCTGAAAACACAGCAGCGGTAATAGTTTATTCTAAGTTCCTGTGTAATATTAATGCTGTCGATCATTTCATAGGGCCCGTGACCATGATAAGAGGGCTTTTAACATTTCCAGATTTAAGAGATGCGAAGTCTGGTATATATTAACGCATGTGAAAATGAACATTTTTAAGAGGACACATTAAAGTAACTTGATATATACAATTAAACAGTGTCTAATTTTTAGGAACGTATGATAGGCCTTGATGACAAGTGGTCGAAAATAGTTGGAGGAATATACGGCATAGGCCACCAACAGCCTTCTACTAAGAAATAATCTAATTACTACAAAGAAAGCACGTTGCCTGAAATATACAAAGCACGGTAGCAGATTGTTTGTGAAGCAGAGGCTAGTTTTGCATGATAATATACAGTCTGAGTGTTTCAGTGATAACTAACACTGTTATCAGCTTCGTAGTAGAGATCAGTGTACAAAAGCAAGTTTCAGTAATAGGAGTAGAAGCAGCTGTAAAACCGGGGATGGAACATGTACCTATTTTCTGATCCTCGTTCAAAGATGCATTCCTAGCGCCATCTTTTGGTTTATGCTTCGAGCCGGTGGACCTGGGCCTCTAATTGGTATGTGAATATCTATGTTGAAATGCACGTTTGCCGGTGAAGTGTTATACATGGCTTTATCTCCAGCAGTACCTTTTTGGTTTATGGTGTGACGGTGAACCAGGCGGACTGTCCTGATCATTCTGTGTGTCTGTATGTGCACCCAAATACTGATTGCTTCAATTTCCTGAAAAATTGGAGAGAAGTAATGTAGTAGGTTGTAAGATGGTCATTGACGCGTAAACCAAAAAAATGCAGTAGGAAAATATGCAATGTTCTCAGTGGTGTGGAGTGACCTCTGTAGCGTCGGTTTTGTAACCGAACAATTCCCTGTAAGTCTGCGCCATTGGTGCTGGCGAACTGGAAAGCCATAAGACTCTTTAGATAAGAAGTATAATGCAGCTTGAAGCAAGCAAAGGGCCTAACTACCATAATTTTCAGTTCAGTAATGGGAGGATTAATGCACCTTGTAGTGACAAGCAAAAATACAAGAGAGAACGTATCTACTTTCAGGCTGCATAAATACTAAAAATAAATTATGACGAAGTGATGGTATATATGTTTTTTTTAAAGAAACCACACATGGTAAAAGCCTAAGTATAAGGAACTTAAAAAGAGTACTGTAGCTGAGTGCTAACCTAGCACCTCCATTAGGTAGATAAATATGAATCTAAAAAGAACCAATGGGCCTAACTACCATAATTTTCAGTTCAGTTGGCACAATGTAAGCCTAGAACGGGCATGGCGAGCAGTGTCCTATAGCATCAGGCAAAAAGATGATGTCCAAATGACAAATGCACAATCATAATGACATGAGGAAATAAAAGCAACCTGTAAGTTTGCAAATCAATTAAAATAGCAATCGTGAAATTTAATTTTCGGTCGAGAAAAATACCCATCGGTTCACTGCCTGGAGTCTTGATTTAAAGTTGGTTGATTGATAATGTAAGCCTTGATTTGAAGATGTGTTCATCATCTGTAGTCTTGATCGCTTTAATTAGCCTGACACCTTCATTTTCGCACGTCCCTAATCGTGTTTCCATTGTTTTGATTTTTGAAATGCCAACAGTGAGAGACTAAGTCTCAGGACTCTGAAGGAGCTTCTATTTTAACAAACCATGGCTGCAAGCACAAAATCGTTGAGTCTCACTGAGGCACAACACTGCATAGTACCACCGTTGTCTGCACCTTGTATGCTCTGTCCACAGCAAAAATAAATAGAAGAGAGAAGTGAGAAGGGATTGATTTACACTGAATCTAAGCACACAAAAGATAATTACACTTCACCACCGTGGTTGCATTCAACCTAAACACACAAAAGATAATTACACTTCACCTCAGTGGCTGCAGCTCCCTGAAGTACAACAACAAAAGAAATCAAAACATGTATTATTCCTAGACCCAAAGCATTTAAACTGCAGGAAAAAAAATCGAACCAACAAAGATAAAAAATTAGGTCTCAATTTCGGATGACTTCAGCTCAATTTGGTACTCCCAGTCCTAAATATTTGTTAAGATTATCAAATGCAGAGCCAAACATGCAGACCATCAGAAACAAAGCACCTTTTGATTTTAGGAATAATACCCAAAATTATACACTACCAAGAAAAAAAAACTCGACCGGGGTGGGTGTTAAGACTGCCTCATGAGATTACAAATAAGAAGAAGGACCTTCTCACCCGGCCGAGAAAACCCCCGACCCCCCGCCCCCACCCTTACACGGTGGTTTTCCGTCGCCCAAGTGAGAATTGGGCCGGTGCCCCCCCAGTGCTTTGGTTATGGGGACGGACGAGGGTAATTTTTTTAACCTCAGCCTGAAATTCGCTCCCACGGAGAGTCGAACCCAGGACCTGAGGAGTGCCGCTGGGTCACCTAACCGTTTGAGCTAGGCGCCCTTTGGCATACACTACCAAGAAGCATCCACCTGCTATTGTTTCTGTGTGCCCTTCCAAGCTTCCGGAAATAAAATGAGTCGCAACAAGCTTGGGGGCAAAGAGATTTACTGGGAATATAATACTGCATCCAGCTATGACGCTGAATATAATACTGCATCCAGCTCCAAAAAAAAATGCACTGTTCCTTCTTTACAATGTATTAGCGTGTAGTTAAAATAACTCATGTAGCCCTATTTATTAAAGCTGGTCCGCACTAATTAAGAAAGAAGACAGTCATTAAAAGAGATTGATGAAAGTACGCAAGCTGTATTCTCACTCAGATATGGGCACAGGAAAGTTTTCCCAACTGTCCCCTTGTCTCTTGGTTTGTAGAATCTGCTACGCAACTTATGTTGCTGCACCATCTTTTAATGGGACAAATTAGCACTTGAATGTGAATTGAATGTTGGCTGGCAATATAATCTGAGTTTCATGGTACTTGTAGTTTCCTGGCCTACCTGAAATGAATGACACAATGTTAAAAGCCATAACTCCTGCATAGTATCAGATGGCTCTGTCAGAGTAACACATCTGTTTTCTTTCGTATCACTGGATAGTTGGATTGGTAAGTGTTTAGTCAGCACTCGGATTACTTAACTCAGAGTTCTGGAAAGTTTAATCAGAGAGCATATTTTCATAATAGCTATTTGATGGGAAAATGCAAATTATTGGATATCTGGATTGGTAAGTGTTTAGTCAACATTCAGAACTTTGAGTCGTTTAAAGTTTAATGAGAGAGCATACTTTCATAATAGATATTTGATGGGAAAATCAACCCCAATATGTAGATGTATAACTTTCACTGGGCATCAGTTATCAGGCATCTTTTGGCTAGAACTAAGCATGTGACATAAGCATCTGTAGGAGCCTGTGGGTTTAGGAAGATAACATGGACTTATGTTCGAAGCATACACATTTGGACTGCAGGAATAGCAGAAGTTGTCACTGAACCAAGCCTGGGCACATCTCCCATCCCTTGGTTCATCCACGTGTGCTTCCGTGGAACCAGAAAGGAAAAAGAAGAATACATTCTTCGAACCAGGACTGAACACATAATCTGCATCTATCACTACCAGGTTAGGATGGTGGCATTAATGTGTATTTTTTAGTTAGACATGGTATTGCCAACTATAAAAATGTGTCAATCCTACAGGAGGTTAAGTTCAGAATATCATAGTGATTACCAAATCTTTGAAACTCACAGGAATTTTCAGATGGCATACATGTGTTTGAAACCACACTTGTGAATTTGAAAGAGATATTCAAGGGAGGACTGAAAAAGAAAAGAGATGTGAACTTACAAATCACTAAGGGACATGATCAATCTTTTATTTTAATCATCAAACCCCAATGGAAATTGGCAGGAACAAATCTTGTCATAGAGGGGCCTGGGCTGCTAGATGTTGTAGCCAGTGGAGGCAGCTGGCCTATGACTCATAAGTGTTACCCTTGCTGGAGCCTACTGCATACAGGCCTGGCCTGCCCTACCATCTGAGCGCCAACATGCTGTAGTTCTATTTTGAAGTGCCACCTGTGCACCTGCTGGCAAAATATCTTGCCATCATCTAATATGGGAAAGCTATTCAGATTCTGAAGACAAACTGTTTAATGTGGTAGATTACATTTCATAGCAAAACATGTTCGGAGTCCTACACCGAATGAGAACTGTTCTAACATTTCTTCTTTCACAGTGTCCATCAACCATGAGTATTAATATTCTTTCTGTAGGGTCATATAGGAATTAGAAACTGAAAGAAGAAAATGTCAGGTCTTGACACTGCATGAGAACTGTTGTAACATTTCTTTTTTCACACCGGCCATCAACCATGAGCACTAATGTTCTTCCTCTAGAAGCGTATAGGAGCCAGCAACTGAAAGAAGTAATAAAATGGCATTTACCTTATCTGTGTACGTGTCTTCGTGGGCTGCACCCATGTGGAAGAACTATATAGCAAACGGCACATCATTTTGACATCACCATCTTCTGAACAAACTGAGGGCCATTGCACGAACCTTGCAGAAAATAGGGATGACGTAATTTAAAAAAGCATCATTCCTTTGAGGACAAACAGGGTAGAAGGGAAACAGTAACATGATTTGCTCACTGTGCAGCATACAAACCAAAAACTGCCTGACCAGAGAGGTCCTATCAAAATCAGATCAAGGAGATGCATCGAAGCTAAACAATATTTGCTGTACCACATTATAAATAGTAATTTAGAGTAAGTACATTGTTACATGTATAACTCAAAACTTGCTAGTCAAAAATAGCTAAAATCATTACCTGTCGAGGTCGCATCTCAGAACACCTGAGTGCAGAGGACTACCTGACGTACACAGCCATCGATGAAACCCCAGTCCCGCGACGAACTTGCACGCGCGCTGGGATAGGGGGAATCGGCAGGGAGATGAAGAGAGAGAGGGAAAGGGGGAGAGAGAGGAAGAGACAGGCACCTAGGGCTTCATGGAGCACAGGAGCGCCGGACGGTGAGACGATGGCGTATCGGGGGAGGAGACGTGCCGGCGAGCACCAGGGACGGCGGGCGTTGGGCCCCCCGTGGCCGGGGGCGGCGACCCGCTGCACCGGCGTAGCATCCGGCGGGGGCCGCCGTCGCCCCGCCCTTGCGGCGCGAGGAGGGAGGGGCGTGGAGAAGGAGGAGGGTGGCCGCCGTCGTGCCGAGGGCCGGCCACCGCCGAGGTCGCCCCGCGCCGTCGCCTCCGTCGCGTCGGGAGAGAGGGAGGGAGCGTACAGGAGAGACGGTGTAACAACTAGGTGTTACGAACTTAATAAAACCTTGATCATGATAATCATCATGCATCAGCATTATGGCATAAATACATTCCATGTTTTATTTACAGCATATATATGTTGCCTATGTAGTGTTTTATAAGTTACATGAAATGTTATTAATGTTAACAATAATTTCAATCAAGGTTCTTTGGAAATTTATATATGTGAATTTGCTTAAACAATTAATTTTTTGCTGAAATAAACTTTAAGGTGTAGAGTGTGTACTTTACACTAGTGTCAAGTGTTGGGTATGAATTTGAGTCCAACCAATTAAAATTTGAGCCCCAAATTTGATACTGAAATTGAAATTCAGCACTTAATCCTAATTTGGTAGTGTGGGATTTCAACATTAAGTTCATTTTTGGGGGAATTAATAAAATGTTTTTCACAAATAAACTTGTGCAACCTTTAGTATCATTTATTAGTGCTAAGTATGTACTATGCTATGGTGCTATTAGTTGATTTGCTTGGTTGTTAATTAATCATTAATAAAATTCCCAAAATAGCTAAGTTTTATCTGTTTTCAAAATTCTAGGGCTGAATTCTGTTTTTCAGTTTCTTGTTTCAATGTGCCTACTTTCAAAAGCTAAGATCTTGCAAGCCATCGAGTTTTAGATGTTGG